AAGGTTTGTATGGGATGTTATCGGTTTGCCTTAAAAGAGAGAAAAAAATGTCTTGTTGTGAAATAAAATGGGCTTACCTTATTGCCTTGTTGTTTTCTTTGTTGATTCCGAGCGTCCAGGCCATTTTGAAGCGTTTTCGGCGAGTTAGCGCTATGTGGGAGCAGTATTCATTTTTTCATTTTTCTTAGCTTTATTCAGTTCTACGATTTAAGGAAAGTTTATTACCTGACGAGGGAATTCCGCGTTAAATTGCACGCGAAAACCAGTATCGCTCGAATCATGAAGCGATGCGTGCGATATATCGCTTTTCAAGAGCGAGTCAATGCGGAACTAACGATTCAGGTAGTGGATTTTCCTTGATTAGCATAATTGAGTGCAGATAAGAAAAAATAAAACGGCAATACTACTGTTTGTTTTTGTCCAGAGCGCAAACAAGAGATGCGAAACAAAATCACTTAGCTTTGTTTTCAACTCACAATCCCACGCTAAATACCTCGCTTTGTAAACCGATAAGAATGCGAGATTTTATTCAATACTGCGATTCTCAAGGGAAATTCATTACCTGACGAAGTAATTCCTTGTTAAATTGCACGCAAAAATCGATAGCACACGAATCGCGTGGCATTGAGTGTGGCATCAGTTTCTGGGTACAATTTAACGCGAATTACCTCGTCAGGTAATAAACTTTCCTTAAATCGTAGAACTGAATAAAGCTAAGAAAAATGAATACGCAGTTGCTATGTATACGTAAGTGCGAGACAAGATCACTCAGCCTTGTTAGCCATGTTAGATACCTCATTTAGTTATTCAATTAGAGATGTGATTCTGTAACAAATATTCTTTTAAAAAAACTATGAGTTCCTTAATATCTCTCCCACCTCTACATTCTTTTTGGATTATGTGGCCTTTCTTAACTTCTTTTCGCATTAAATGATTTTTAGGCGGCACTTCTGTGAGCGAGGACAACATGCAAGGAACTACTTAGTGTTAATTTGTAAAACTCTTTCATGAAGTCTACGACAGCTAGACGAAACGCATCGGAGAATGAAAAAGTTTCGTAACAACTGCTCGCATATTGCTCCTCGCTAGTCTAAATTTTTTTCGAAAACTGCTTTCCCACCTCAGCCTCCTCTTTGATAATGTTACCTGTCTTAATTTTTTTAAATTTATGTGATTTTAGGATTTTCTGACTACAAAGACGCAAGAGGCAGAACGCCCCTAATGCATGCTGCTCTGAATGGCAACGTTCAAGCGGTGAAGGGTCTGATTAAGAGAGGAGCAGATCTGTCCCTGAAGGACAAGAAAGGGTGGAATGCGTTACATTTTGCCGCAGACGCTATAGATACTGATGTCATTGATCTTATCCTTACTCACATGCCTAACATTGAGTCAAAAGCCGCTGCCGGTTCTACTCCTCTAATCATTGCTGTTCGTTTTGCCAAGATGCAGAGTGTAAAGCATCTCCTTGAGAGGGGAGCCAATCCTTTGACTGGGGATAATGACGGCCAGGACTCTTTAGTTCATGCCTTATCACGTGACTATGATGTTCTTGACCTACTGCTTAGTCACGTAGCTAAGAGTGAGTCAACAATACTATTCATTGGGCTTTGGTGGGGTAAATATAATCATATTTTGTCTCCTGGAGTTGCTAGGAAGAAGTAAAGTGAGGAGTATGTACAGCTGTTTCGAGAAAGGTTGTCGGAAAAAAAGCGTATAAGTTCGCGTGACAATTCCGAATCGTATCGTGAGTGGTTCTCAGGTGATGGTTCCCTGACCTCAGGAATTTTGGGGATAATCTAAGAAAATGTCACTGAAATGACGACGCGGGTTTGACGAATTTGTTTCCTTTATTTTTTTACATATGAATCCACTGATTACCAGATACCAATATTACCTTTTGAGATTGTCGCGAGCACTTTTGTCCTTTTTCCGAAAACCTCTCTCAAAGCAGCTGTTTACGTCTTTAGTGGAAGTGCATTGATGATGTGAGAGCTCATCAATTTGAATACTTGAATAAATGCACTGCAATAATCACTTGAATACTGAAAACTGGTGAGTCAGATCTCATAGAAAACATTTGAAAGCTATAACAAGTTAATTTACTTAGTTATGATGAATTTATGAAGTTCATATATTTTGAACTGCGGTTATAGATACGCATGATGCACGATCCTCGCAGTAGAGAGCGCTAGTTATGCAATAGCGAAAATCAGACCTGAAAAAAATCAGGCCTGTACAGGATTCGAACTACTGACCTCTGCGATACTAGTGCAGCGCTATACCAATTGAGCTAAGTACAACTTTACTTAGTACAACTGTCATATCCTGACTGTAGCGCTTGCAGCAACTAAAAACAAATGAAGGCAAGGCTTTGCCTTTAGCCATGTTGTTAATGAGCAGTTGGGACTATTTTACTAGCATTGAATGACAAGAGAATCGCGGATTACCTATGGTGGGCCAGGAAAGAAACTTTGACTTAAACCACAAGGATAAAATCTAAAAAACACATACATTTTTACTTGTAAATATATCATACTAGCCTCTTTTAAAGGCCTTTTAATGGCCTTCAGCGGATCGCATTGCATTTTTTGACAAAATTGCCCAAACTCTTTTAAACCTGAAGGCGCCACTTATGGCAGGCCACGATAGAGAATTGAGGAATCAAAATACAAGGATTTAGCTTAAGATGATGAACATTACGATTTGTAAGTAGGTCTGATAGACCTCTTCATAGGCCGCTAAAATTGACTTTTAACTTATAATTACTTCTGCGAAAAAGAAGCGAAGTACTTTATTTCAACGGGTCACTATTCAGACTCAAACGTAGTAACCTAACAAGTAGTTGATATTTTCCAAGAGATAAGAGGACCATCTGCTAGCACGCAGAATTTAAAAGCGGGATTGCATCGCGTTGTAGCGTACGAAGTTGCCAAAGATGCATAATTTTTCATTGCTGTACGGGGGGAGG